TGATATGAAAAGGTGGGGGGTGCTTGTCAGAAAACTTGAATTAAACCCCTAAAGGAGATCAATCTGGGTGTGGTTCAAGCTTTATTTGACCCCTAAAAGATACGACTTAGAATGGATTTAGACGCAATTACCAGCCACTATTCAGGAAAGGAAAGGCTGAGAGTACAAAACCCTGACCCCTTCCGTGGACTAGGTCCATGGACCGGGTCCATCAAAATATGGACCGGGTCCATCAAAATATGGACCGGGTCCATGGACCCCCTATTTTTACTACCCCATATAAACAAAGACCACTGGTATACTTGATTGCTGGCTCACATGTCCATGTGACTTTACCCGCACTTTCTTTTGCGTCAAACATGGCTGAGGTGGACGAAAGTAAGCACTGCTCTTTCCGTTATGATTCCTTTGAGTTTCCTTGTAGGTTTTTTTATCTCATAGAGTTTTGATGTTCTGGGAAACAGCGTAACCTATAGATTATTCACTAATCCATAATAATCCGCAGGTTGCACGCGCAATGCATGATTTCCAAGAGCAATTTCAAGTTCACGTAAGAACATGGCTTGTCGAAAATAAACTGTGTTCGGTACGACAATGCATTTGTCATTATTTATGTTAGTGTTATCACTATGTTATGTAATGTTAGTGTTATCAGCCTCAGCCTTCGGCTTCGGCTGATAACACTTACCTTGACCTTGATTATTCCAGATATCTCAAAAACCTCTTCCAATAATTGTTTAAAGAAATGTTATTAAAATGTGACTTTATGAAAGATTGCAAAGTTGAAAATTAATTAAATATTAAATTGAAATATTACTGTGAATTCATTTTTTTCAATATTTTACTTATTTTATTTTTATTTATTATTGTTTACTATAGTATTTTTAGGGGTAGTAAAAATAGGGGGTCCATGGACCTGGTCCATATTTTGATGGACCCAGTCCATGGACCAGGGGTCCATGTTTTGTACTCTCCCTAGGAAAGGAGCTCATACTAGTAAACCGAACTCGAGAGAAAGGGGGAATTCGAGCCTAAAAACAGAAATGAGAGTGTTTCTTTTATTAATATTTTTCGGGTGCACCCTTGAAGATACTTTGGCAGTTAAAAAAAGTGGCGTTTCATCCTCAACACCCAAAGTGAGACCAGAACCCTTGATTTATACCTGTAAGCAAGTTGACAAGCATCAGTGACCTTTTTATATGGGTTTCCCTTTTGCGCTCTTGTATTATTTTTCGCAGCCTAAACTAGTACACTTTCGAAAAAAAATTGTGAATTCTAATGGATTCAAGGAAAGAAAAGTCCATGTCAACGACTGTGTTATTTCTACCAAATTCTCTGAAAATTATTGGTGACAAGATCATGTGTGGTGAAACAGATATTGGGACTGGGACTGGAAAATTTTCATTGCAGTTATGTTTGAAAAACTGTTCATAATCGCTTTGGAAAGACTGTGGAAATAATTGAATGTCTTTAGTTATGGTAAGGTAGTGTTTTCAAAAAATCCTGGTACTACCAGGATAGAAGTCTCTTGTTGGTGACTCAGGAAAAGTTGGCAGGTATAAATCTTAGAGTGTAAGAAACCCTGTCTGACTGATAGTGCAATACTTGAATAGGAGAACAATGTGTTTACCTGGGGGGGGGGNGAAAATGACGGGGGTGCTTGTCGGAAATTTTGGAAAGAACCCTTAAGAGGTACCAAGATGCTGTTTTGTGGGCATGTTTTGAGATTTTTTTCCCTTAAGAGGTACCATTTCTGAAACAACACATAATCTCCTGTCATATTTTTCTCGGTTCAATACCCTGAAGGTACTGGGAATAGCAAAAGCACCCACTGGACATGGAACTTTTGGGGCTGAACACCCTCAGAGGTACCAAGACCACTTTTTAAACCCCTAAAAGGTATGATGAGCACCCCCCGCCTTTTTATATGAGAGTCCTCCCCCGGTGTTCATCTTTTTAGAGAATTAAGCCAGGTTAAAATAATCATTAATAACTGTGTTTGTGTTGCAGAGAAATCAGGTCAAATGACGTGGCCAACTGGACTAAGGATGATAGTGTTGTAACATTCATGCCAAACAGAACATACATTTTTGATCCTGATACCTCTTGTGCTGGCTGCAATGATAAGGATGACACTTTTGTTACTGTTAACATTCCACTATTAGTAAGTAGACTAGTATAAAAAGGGTAATGCAATTAGACCCAGAGCCATTTAATACAAATTTTATTTAATATGTTGATGTTGATTCCAATAATAATTATTATTAATTACTGTAATACATTTATTTGCTTGAATATTTGTAGAGAACAAAGGCATAACTGTTTTAGTGTTGAATAATGGTTGGATAGGGCTGCTGTTTCAACTGTTTTTATTAATTCTTTGGAATTTATGTTTGGAAGAGTGCCACTTCTGCTGATTTTACATACACAGTACTTAGAAGATTTCTATCCTGATTTTTTGTAAGCTGAAGCTTGCCAGGTTGCCTTGAAATTCAAGTGCCCTCCCCCCCAATTTTTCATTTTATTTTATTTTGTATTTTAAATTATATTTATGTAATATTACCAGTAAATAAGCAACTTGCACAACCTTGTACAGGTAGGGATGGGGTAGGTGATCCAATGAGTACATGTATGTGCCTAGATATGGACAGGTCTGTATATATAGACTCTGATTGGTAAAAAAAGCAGTGATCATTACCCAGTGAGTTAGAGATGCTACGTACATGCACATGTAGATTTCAGGGGATGGGATGAGTGAGGAACAAGAGGCAAGCCTGCAAATAACAGTTGGTCATCGGACAATTTTCTTGTAAATTTGAGGTTTTGACAGCTAAAAGTTCAGCCAGGTCGGACACTCTGACCAGGCATTTCAGCTAAAATGAAAAACATTTTAACTGGAAATTTGTGGTGGAATATGGGACAAGTTATTTTGTTATACTACCACACAATACTACGCAAAAAAGCTTTGTTATTGGTTCTGTTTTTATTCCAATTCTGAGAATTTTATCACACGCAGTGGGCCATCTCAAATGTTATGTCGAATTGTAAACACCTAGTGGTGTGGAATTAATTTTCAGTCGTAACACATTGACCCGATTAAGATATTATGGAAATTGAATACACAGCCCAAATACTCACGTGTCGTTTATCTGAATGCAATCGCTTTCAAAAACTTTAAAACCTTTAAAACGTCACCAAATGTTTTTCTAGTCCGTATGATCAAAACTCAGTTTAATTTTTAACCCTTTATAGTTTTTTTGCGTCTGTCAGTGTGGTTGAAATATAGTTTCCTTACCACAGATATGTTTTCGTGAAAAGCGTGAATGTACAAATTAGTCACGCGTTATAGTCACGACCACCTCCAATTGCACATTTTAAATAATTACACAAATTTTTTATTCAATTGACCCCAAAAACTTTCAGAGGAAACTTGCTTTCAGAAAAAGTCGAAGAATTCATCTCAGCCAATTTTCAAGTCTCTGAATGTTGTTGTGAGCTTTTATACTGACAAGCTGTCCATGCGGGAGATTGTGTTTCATCGCTTTGCCTGTTTTCGCTAGACATCGTGGGAAACTTGTTACGTTGGAAACGCCTGTGTGACTAGGGGTATAAACGTTTGTAAATTTGTCAATTTTCAACTGGTAAAATAATACCAAATGTAATGTAAAGGTCCCCTTTCTGGTGCTAGTAGCGATTTTACATTCAGTTGACTATTAAGCTACTTGAATTTGCAAACAATATTTTGGCAAAGAGTCTACACTGTAATACCGAAATGTCTCAAATGTCTCTTTTTAATTTCTAACGACAAAAAATTTTTTTGTCCGACCAGACTGGCTTTTTGTCAGGTCAAAACTTGTCTTTGTCCTGACAAATGACCTGCCTAAGGACGAAAATTATGTGCAGGCTTGAGAGGCATCTATTTTCTCAGGCCACTGGCTTAAGATCACTAACTAGTGACTTACTCTTGTTGCTTCTTATCTTTTCACAGGCCGTTGCTTTGTGGATAAGAAATACCAACTATAGAGAGGAGCAAAAAGACTGTTTTGATTTCATACAGATAGCAGCTAATGAAGATGGTGTCAAACTGTTTCAAAGAAAGTCAGTTTTTGAATTGCTCTGGGGATATAATGACACATTTCTGGCAGATTTAGTTGATGCAAGTAAGCTACCTCCTCCATTTCCACAATGTCCAGGTCCTGAAGGAGGATTGACAGACTTTGTTCAATTGCAGGTGCGTCAGATAGTGCAATAATATGATTATATGTACCGCATTTGCAAGCTTTGGGGGAATATTACTGACTGGTACTCTTTAGTTGTGTTACAAAAAAAAGACCTGAACTGATAACCTGTTACTGTTTACTTTAAATTGAACATTGCTTGTAAGTCACCCCCCCCCCCTCCCCCAATTCTCTTTTAAGTCCTGTCCCCTCAACCATGTTTGATATAAATAAGCCCCCTAGGGGTTTGATAGAGAATGCACTTGATGGGTCTATGTAAACATGCACTTAGAGCTGTTATTCTAGGCACAACCCCACAGTCAAATGTTGAAGAGATCTGTGGATACGTGTAGGGCAGGTCTAAAAGTAAGGTGAAGTGTGTTAGGTAGGGAGTGACCCTGAATAGTACTCTTGTTATGGTTGGCTCTCAAAAATGGTAATGGCAATATTCCTCATCCCTCAACCCCTCCCCCTCCCCCACCTGTTGCCGCTAACCCCACGCACCCATTTTAGACCTGCCAAGATCTGTACGTGACATATCCTGCCGTATAATTATACGTAGTTGCTCCATTTTTGAAGTGTGCCTAAGGAAATTCATTAGAAATGCCCAAACACATTTTATCTAGCTTGAAAAATGTGATTTGTTGATATTTTGTTGAATAGTTTATCACACTTAGTTTTAGAGATCACTGTGGAACCTCCTTTGAGGTGACCCCCCTAGGAAATAAAGAAGTGTCTTTTAATTGTGGTGCCCTCTGTAAAGTAAAAGGTTTGACTTATTACTTAACATTTGGGAACAACCATTTGTAGTCCCAAATGAGCATAGCCTGGAAGGATGTGCTGATTAAAACAGCCTGATAAGGAGCCAATAGTCCTTGTTCTGATTTTATTTGCTTGTATTTTATCGCAGTACAATAACACATATTACGGCATTAGTGCTGTTAATACTGGACAATCTGACATCAGCAGACTTGAACAGTTTACCATGTGGAGAGGACAAACGTAAGTACCTTCTGATATTAAACAGTTATATATTGTCAGTATTTATTTCGCATCGTTGTATTAACATTTTCAGCAGAGGGCAGACAGTTATCAGAGGCCGATAAAACATTTTGAACTGAACTTCTTTCTTAGAAAACCTTTCCTCTAGATAGTCAAACTAGGCAGGCAAAATCAGCCTTGCAGCCAGTTAATTTTCGGTCTCTGAGGATGGTTTCACATCCATATACTGTATAATACTTTGTTAAGCTAGTAGAAAGAACCTTTTTCTCATAGGACAATACTAGACTCATATTATGAAGACCTACAGTGTAGTAAATGGGCAGCTTAAATTGTCCATACCTAAGTCTTACTCTTACAGTATATGCGTTTTCTATTACTATATCTCAGGTGTGTTGTGGATTAAAACTTTGCATTCATTTGGTATTTGATTGATTTCTTTTAATGTGCAGCCATTTATCATGGTGGAGTGACGAATATGCAAACATGATCAATGGAACAGGTATTTCACATGTTCACCATCTTTTGCTGTTATCTTTTGTGTGTTTTTAGTCTAACAGTCAAAGTTTGCTTCTGCAAGAAAATCCTTTTCCATCTACATGAATCTGGAACTGTGAAAGTTTTGGGTAATGGTTCAAGAAATTATTGGTCATTTCTGAAGGGTTTTCACTGTATATTTCCTTTAATGTGTGAAGTTTACATTGTAGTGGGTTAATCTTTCCCCAGATGGGGGATAGGGCCAGTATTGGTTTCCATAATCAATATATCTTTTTTTATGGGATGTGGTGATTGGCCCTCTCCCCAACCCCAACCTTGAAGTCTAGGGTTTTTCTATTAGGATGTCCTTCCCTTAAAGGGTTCCAGCTATTTAATGGAGCTGGAGATTTGCCTTTCGCTATTGTCATTCAGCCACACAGTATTGCCAGGGTCAGCAATCTTATGACTCACTGACAGAGCATTTTAGAGATGGTGGGCATTTGTCAGCTACCTTGGGGCAGCAGTAGCTCTTTCCAGGATCTTTTACCAGCTTTTGACCCTTTTTGTGTAAAGCCTCCAGGGAAATTTGATGCCCTGTATGGAAATTATACAAAATGGCTCATTCCGTGCAGGGGCTCAAAAGAGGGACAGTGAAGGACAAGATCATTATAAACTGCAAGAGAAAATTGTAAATTATCCTGGGCGGCATGAGCCAGTGTGAAGTTTTATGATGTTTTATTGGTTGAAATCCATTCAGTGGGCCTCCTTGTGTCAATCAAAGTTGTACATGCACATTACAATTAGACAGCCCTTTTGAAAAGGTAACTGAGTGACCACTAGGCCCGTGACTGGATTGATGATGCTTTTAAAGAGGCAGAAGAGAGACAGGTTTTTAATAATGATATTAATTATTGTTTTTTCGTATTTAAAAATGTACTAGATGGTACACAGTTCTCACCAGATGTTAGTAAAGACGACATATTGTACATTTTCTCGCCAGATATTTGTAGGTATGTATTGTTGTTTGAAAACAACTTCAGCACAACCTCATTATACCGGTAATACTTCAGTTCCTGTTTCAATCTATTACCCTGATAGTGAGCCAGATTGCTTGAAAGTGCCAGTGCACTTAACCCCAGTTTCTGTTCTCATTAGAAACCAAGAGAATTTAGGATTGCTAGCACATGGCTAGGTAGCCCTAGTTGTAGAGGAATTTTTTGAAACACCTGGCAACTCTGAAAGCGGAAGTTTTGTGACACCAAGGTCTGCAGTCCCGTATTCCATGAGGATATTCATGATACCGTATTGGATCAAGAAACTATTCACGAAGTTTCTGCTGCCTTGACCATAATCATTTTTACGATAGCTGCAGAAATACAGCTATACATAATGAAATAATGTTTTGGCGGTTGATTGTAAATTAATCGTTGCTGAGATGAATTTAGAGAAGCTCATGTTTTCAGGGCTAGACCTTGCATTGGTTGAAGAAAGTTTGTTGATATGTACTTGTATTCCTACAGATCTGGTTATTTACGGTACGATTCTGAAGTAACTGAGAAGCGCATCAAACTGTATCGTTTCACTATCCCAGAGGAAATGTACCTAAGCGGTGACGTATACTCCCCCAATAAAGGCTTCTGTGTCTCCCCCGGGTGCTTGCCAACTGGCTTGCTAAATGTCAGCCTTTGTCAGCCAATGAGTAAGTGAAAGTTAACTCTCACAGCCTTCTTGAAATCACCACAAAATTCCAGTAGTGAAATCAAACAAACCATGGCTTGTTTTTACTTAAGAACCTTGTTTTAGACATCTTTACGTTTTTTTTGGTGTGGGGGGGGGNTGGGGAGGGCGTGGGGGAGCGGTCCTGCTTTTGAAAGGTTTTATGCCTTTTACAGGAGGTCGATTTTTGTATCTGAGACATTTCAGTTGTACATATAAGAAGTATTACATCGTAAAAGTCTAGAGCGATAAAGATATTAAACAGTAGGATTGTTGGGCAATTATTGAAAGAACATTACTGTCTTTTAAAATACTGGAATGACTTTTAAGTGTAATTACAAACAATCTTAACAACATGGAATTAACAAACTGAAGAAATCATATTTGTCTTTAGCAAAATGAAGCTGAATATAAGTGATTTAATGGTATCTGATGGAATTTGACCTTCGAGAGCTTGTTTTGGAGGCGAGAAATGGGACAGCTGAATATTTGTAGAATTTTTTCTTTATCTGCAAACATGGAACCTTTTCCCTAAGATAAAGACTAGTTTTCCATTATTTTTTTTTTCTGGCCAGTCAGAAAAGGGGGCAAATTACAATCCATTAATACTTAAAGCATAAGTAGAAGAGAGACGAAAGAATTCCGCGTTTATTGCAAATCTCTCCCACAAGGCATACTGTCATTGTTTTGCAGTAAGTAATCAGTCTTTGCGGGTATTTCCTAGATCCCCCTGTGGTAATGTCACCTCCACACTTCTATCAAAGCAACAAGTCTCTTTTGGAAACAGTCAACGGACTTCACCCGATGAAAAGTGCCCACCAAACATTACTTGACGTTGAACCAGTAAGTAAAGGGATATCTGAAAAGGAGTATATTGTTGCATACAGCAACGTCATATTATGCGAGGCTAGAAAAAAAAAAAAAAAAAGAAAGAAAAAATCTTTGGTTTACTTTCCGACCATGAAATATGGCATTTGTCACATATTGAACCCACCTCACGGGGTAATCAAGTGTTATGGGCGTGGTCGTGAATTTCTGGAGGTCCTGGTTTCAAGTCGAGTTGGATTTTTCTTTCTGTGGTCACAATTTCAGCTCCACCACTAAGCGAATAATCAACTTGCAGCCTTCTGCCAGTCGTGATTTTTGACTATTTTGTACTAATTTGAAACATTGCTTTCATGAACATTTGGCTAGAAGTGCAAACTGTGTGGCAGTTGACATAGAAAACAACGTCACAGCTCAACTTTGAGTTTGAGTGTTGGGTTTGAGTTGTGTTCTCCAATTTCTTTCCACAGGGTTATTTATGTTCAAAAGGAAATGTATGGGTTATTTCCAAGACTTAAAATCACTTCAGTGTAATTTTCCTGTTCCATGCTGTCTAGCACATGGGTTTCATTAAATGACCTCAGTCACGGTATTTTGAGTTATTTTGGCCATATGCAAAGTTACCTTTAAATTGAAGGAACCTGAAAGTAGCAGTTTATTAAGATAGAAAAGCACCTGGTAGATAATAGTGAACCATAAAGAAAGAAGAATGGTTAAGGATGGAGAAGATTAACGTGGATTACAAACGACGAACTTGAAAAATTTAGGATCAACTTTTGAAGATGCACTAACCGTGACGTAGCTTTAAGGGCTGGGTACCGAGCAGATTGACCGGTTGTGGCGATGATTTTGCCCACCTGGTTTGAACAAATAGAGGAAAATTTTCCTTAGTAAGATGTTCAATTCAAAACGTTTTCTCCGTCTGTGAAAACCAGTTGCCCTCCTGCCCCCTCTAGCACTAGTGCTACATTGCATTGTAATTGTACCCGTGTATCAATAAACGTTGCTTCCTATTTTTCTTCTCTTACAAGTTAACTGGCATTGTGATGCGTGCTGCTAAGAGACTTCAGGTCAACATTGCTTTGGAGCCGGTGGACACTTTTAAGTAAGTTCAGAAATTCCATCATTTTCTTACTCTGCATGCATTTGCTTTCTAGCGAATAAGAAATGGAAGTTTGATTCGTAGGTAGTGAGGAGGGATGGTGAGAGAGTTCATCACCCTTGTAGGTCTGGTTCCCTATGTTATTCCTCTCAAGCTACCTTGACGTCACTCTCGGCTTCAAACCTCCCAGGAGGGTCTTGAAATAGCCAATCCTGTGAGGCGAATTTTACTCACGTGACAGCTCAAACGGCTTCATCCTCATCGAAAACATCTATGTCACGCGCGTGTGGATAACATCCGCCGGAGAACTGGACACCATATCTAAAAATATCTTGAGAGGGACTAGCATAGGCGTACAGTGGGGGCGGGGNGGGGGCTGCAGGGTATTCTACAAAGTTTTATACGGGGAGGCTCCGCCCCAAGATCCAACCCCTTACCCTTTTTTAATACCATTTTGACAGAAAAGGCACGCCTTCCGTATACTTTTTACAGAAAAAAGGTACACCTTTCACACTGCATCCCTTTTCTAAACCCTTGGAGTGAAGTTAATGAACAATATTACGGCTTATTCGAGTTTGAAGGGGAGGGGGAGGGGTGGGGTGGGGTTGGGCGTTTATATTCGAGGCTGGATGTTTATTGACTTTTACTGCCTTTAGGATGGGCGCTTATTCGAGGTGGGCGCTAATTCGAGGTTGGGCGCTAATTCAAACAAATGCGGTATATATTGCGAGCATAACTGTCCAAATAACTTGTTGATTTGGATACATTTGCGTTAAATTAAGAGTTCACTTAGCTCGGAAAGTTATCAAATAATCGTGTGCTTCTGTATGGGTATTCGTTATACCTCCTAATTCAAATTCGCTTTCCCATTGGAGGAGAACGTGTCACGTGTCATGGGTCAAAACTCGCTAACTCCCTAGGGCGAGCAAACCTCACCATTTCCCTAGAAAAACAACAACTTGACCTTTTGGCCCACACGTGATCAGGTCGTGCACCTTGAAACCGCGTCAAATTTATTTGTGTGCCAGCCAGTGTCATACAAATAACTTTTTCGCAGTTTTCTCGATTTGTGAGGGAGGTATAACAAAACACTTAATGACTGGTCCCACGGGAAACAGTGAGTTTTGTTTCCCTTCGACCCTCAATGTTCCCCTCGGCTCCATCTTACCATCTTACTTACTTTATTTTCAGTCAAACCAGTGGGAAATTTAAACCAGTATTTCTGCCTGTTATGTTTGCCAACGAGGTAACTTAATTTTTGTTTGTGGCATCTTTGTGTTGCGTAAACATAGTTCTTGTTTTCTTGCAATTGTGTCTTTTTGTTGACCATAAGACCGTGGAGTTTACTTCAATTTTTTATATTTTGAGGGTGGAAAAAATTTCAGAAAGTGATGGGGGGCTTTGAAGCAAGTGTCCATTGGCTACTTGTACTAAGATATAACAAAGGCAAACTTTGTGAGCCAAATAGGTTAAGTCTGTATACAAGCCAAGCGGCCCATCAGGCCGGAGCTTATGTCTGGTTTCTAAGTAGAAAGAAGCGATTAGGAGTATTTCTTCTTCCCCTTGGACAGGATGCTAGTCCACCGCCGGGTTACCCCAGCATTAAATTCGCCAGTACCCATTATACACCTGGGTGGAGAGAGACACTGTGAGAGTAAAGATTCTTGCCTAAGACCACAACACAAATGTCCCCGGACAGGACTCCTTAATCCGGAATGGAGCTGGTGCACAATACATTATAAATCAATCCAAACTCGTTGTCTACCACTGCTGTCGCCTCGTATTTGGTTCAGTGTTTGGTGCTGCTGCATTTTCAAAGCTTATGCGTTCTCATAAACGTCTTGTACATTTACTATGCAACTCTCGTAGGGTCCCATCATCAAACTTTCGGACAATTTAAGGGAATGAACGGGGCACGTGGAGGTAAGCTTGTACGTTTGACATCTGTGGTCCGCGTACTGACGGTTAGTTTCCTCCTTGTAGAGTGCACTGATCACGGACCAAAAGGCTGCAGAATTCCGCCACCAAGTGTACCTTCCTATCAAGTTAACAGAAGTAGTCCAGTATGTTCTGATCGCGTTGGGCAGCCTGTTCTTGATTGAAGCGTTTGCGCTGCTGTTGCCTCCTAACAAGATAACTAAAATGTGCTGTGGTAGCGAGGTGGGCAACTCACACTTCTGACTTGCTGATTGTTTACCCTGTAAAGTCTACCCCAAACAAGACACAGCAACGCAGAACGTTCAGTTTTGACAAGTGCACCCAGGCTCCTCTCTTAAGTTCCAGGCCATTCTCTTTCATCTATCTTCGACCTGGGAGCCTGGGCTCCCTTCACGCAAGCTACAAGAAGTTCTAAAACGTCATTATAAATTCGTTGTGTCGTCACAAAAGTTTCCCAAAAAATGAATATTACGGTGTGGAAATGGGAAAGTTCGCCTCAACAATTAGGTTCTTTTTCATCACCTCTTGTAAACCCCTCCCTCCATTTCACTGGGGCCGATACAGGATTTTAGAGAAAGGGGTGCGCATTACGGACTTGTGATGGCGGTCCCCTGTAACGGGGGCTGGGGGCATCTTTCCCTGGGAAATTTTTAAAATTGGGTCCTCGGAAATGCGATTTCCGGCATTCTGATGCCAAGTCAGCGTGTTATAATGTCTCAGTTTTTTAGTTTAGGGGGAGTTCGACCGAACCCCCCCCCCCCCCCCCCCCCCCGAACACCCTCCCTAGATCCGCCCAAGATTACACAGAAACAAACGATCAATTTATATGAAGGTGAATGCAGAATCTTCTCATTCTTGTACATTACATCCCATCCTTGATAGGAAAAGTAGCATGGGGAAAAGATACTCCGATTAAAAAAAAACAGACCTTCGTAACTTAGCGTGATCTCCATCCACTGACTTGTAGTTGAAAATGTTATCATTGGAGACGAACTGATGTAGTCAAATTTTTCTAAGTCGGTTATGACTGTTGGGTAGATAACTTCAATCCAAGCAATTCTTTCAACAAAAACTTATCACTTCGCATTTCCGAACGCCGTAAGCAGAAAAAGAAAGAAATATAAAATTTCTACACCGGGTTTTTCTGGCGATCATCCCTCAGGCGAACGTTTAGTTATCTTTCTAGCCTCTACACTCCCCCCCCCTTTTTTTAAATCAAGATATGGAATCTCTCCAAACGTGGCTTTAATTGTTAAAATTTTAATTTAGGATTATTGGTAACTATTTCCCTTTTCTGTTTTTGAAAGAGGTTAAAGTTCTGATTTATTTGTTATTCACTTCAGGATGACAGAGACGATGCCGAGAAAAAACCACTTGTGTATAAGAGGTAACCCTGTAAGTTCTTTGTTTGTGAATCCTTCATTGCAGTTAACTGCCTGTCTCTGATCCGTTTTTAAATTTTAAACATTCCAGACCATTCCAGTTTTACAAAATCTATTTGACAGTACATTCTTGTGTAGGTACGTTTAGTCCAAAAATTCCATTTAAGCCTCAAACTGGCCATAAAATAACAATGCATGCTTTTTTTCCCCACAGTACAAAGGTCTATTTTACTAGTTAGAAGAGCTGTGGTACTCAAAAACCCTACAGACTGATAAAGCAGAATACTGGAACACTGGCACAGGGAATAACCGTATCTGTATTCGAAACTGCGATCAAGAACATTTACACAAATGTAGCGTCCAGCCAAGAGAAGATGAGGAGTAAGACAGTTTCAGGTATTCCGCTACTGAAAGAGGCCTTTTTGTGACGTAATCCCTGTCAAGTTATTTTTAGGTCATTCTCAGTTTCAGAAATCCTCGGAGGGTTTAGAAATAGCCAATCCTGTGACAGAAATTTTACTCACGTGACAGCCTAAGAGGCTTCACACACTCTGTAATCAACGTTCGTGATCCGCGGGAGAACTGGAAACCATATCTAAAAATAACTTGAGGGACTACCCAGAGAGTAGGACCTGTATCTTACCCTTCATTTTCTCTTAGTAATACTTATTATGGGCTACAAAGTTGTTCTTACTTTTGTTTTAATATATACCAGCTGGGTACGAAGTGTAATATAGAGATTTTAGTTTCGATTTTTGAGTTTGTAATCAAAAGGAACGGATTATAACTGCATGTTCACATCGTAGATAGCAACTACATTGTACAGTCAGTTCTGCAATTCTTACATTTTTTTGAAGATTGAATACAGAGAAAACGCATTCGCTATTATGCAGAATCATCGCTATCAGCAACGTCTAGTATTTAAAGACATTTTGATATATTTTCGAAGGAAATACTTTTAAAAAAATAGCAATAAAAATGACAACAGTAGCAAAACATACAGCGTTAGATATTATCTTTGTTTTGGTAGTTCAGGTCTTCTATTTAGATTGATTTTCAAATTATTCCTCGGAATGTAAGGTGGTTTTGAGCTGTGCTATTTATCCAAGATTTTATTTTTGACAAGCTGATCGAAAGCACGACTTTCCTTTAGCTATATTATTAATAAGTCGGAATAAAGGTTTGTAAAAACCTTGTAGTTTGACAGTTTATGCATCAAATGTTCAGTTAAATAAATTATAGAAAACGCCATACATATGGATGTGTACTAGTATTTTTTTTAGAATAAAAGCGTTTTCTTGAAGAGTTATGCCTTAGTTGTAAGGTAACAAGCCGAAATTCAAAACATCGGTGCTGCCTCCCCCCCGCCCCCTTTTTTTCTCTTTTCTTTTGGTCGTATATGACTTGCGATAACGCTTAGTTTTAGTTTTTTCATGATTCGTTCTCGGGCAACCTCGTTACCAGGGCTTTTCACTTAAAGTTTGGGAAAATTCCTGGGAACGACCTTGGCTCTCGGAAAGTAGGGAGACCCTGGGAACGAGATTAGGAAAAGAATAAAAAAGAGTTTCTTTCGAGCGATCGGATATGAGAAGGAAAAGACAAGGAGCAAATAAGGAGGGCGGAAAAACTCGCCCGGATACAAAAGACTACATGTATTTAACGCAACACGGGTGAGAAATTGTCACAATTTTTACAATTCAGTGTCAAACCAACTACGAGTCGTCACGCAACAGAGAGAGCGTTGCGTGACCTACCAGGTGACGACAGATGAGGCAAGAGGTTCAAAATGGTTAGGAAACGACAGGAACTGGAGTCAAGATATTAGCTATTAAAAGCGTTCAACTGATGCTCAAGCAAACTTATTTACAAACGACAGCGTAAAAATATAGTGGAATCATAGACGGTATAAACGGAAAGTTCTTCGTTTGCTCCATTCTGAAACGTCGAAAAGTCGACCTGAAAAATTCCGCATTGTTTCTTAATAGATGTTATTTGCGCGCGAAAATCCACAACTGAGGGCGAGTAACAACGACACAGCGGCACCACTCGACTCTGTGTCTTTGTATCCTAACGACAGAGCTTCGTCATCTGTAAAAAAAATTTCGGCTTGCATCCCAGACGTCTATCGCTCGAAAACAGATGGCTGTTTACTCGTCGACCACAGTACTCCTAGGAAAGTTCTCCAGCCGTGATAACACAAACGTCTTCATGTCTCGCTCCTGAATCACTTCGTAAGAGGAAGACATAAACTGACATTGATAAATATAAGCATTAAGATCCGACTGCAACTGTCAAATCTAGTGCAATGAGAAGTTCTAAGAGACACTTTACGTCTCTCCAAACAACGTCCACATGATCACGGTGTAGGAGTACGCTGACCTTCCTCTCGCGGTTCAGTATTTTCATTTTTCGGTTCCTTTGACTCGCGAGTTCTTCTGCTCTTTTTCTTAGTTGGCACCAGCTCTCCCTCTTCCGGGCCGCCGGACGTTTCTGAGCCCGCCGTCTTACTGTGTCTTTTTCTGAGAGGAAAACAAAAAACATCTATATTTAATGCTTTCTTTTCAAGCTGGTGGAAAAGGGTACATTTTCAGGTACTATAATGATTTATTGACTGCCGTAAAGCCAGATGAAGCAAACAAACAAACAAACAAACCAATAAAGCCAACAAACAGCAAAACAACGTGATTTCGGAAAACGCAAAATGCCAGTGAACCAATCAGAATGCGAAGAGGAAACACGTGAACTGTGCTAAATGCGGGAAAGATGGAAGCCGCGTCACCACCAGTTTTGGTCTTGTTCCTGATTGGTTGACAAAATGGCCAGCTTGCTCTGATTGGCTGGTGCGCTTTTCAAACATTTTCCTGCTAATCACGGAACGCGGCCAAAGAAACCCAAAGGAAACACAGAAATTACTTTGAGAAGCATTTCACTGGCACTGAATCACAGACTGGTTTAACGGGAAAATAAAATAAATAATCGAAATGAAAATACGACTAACGGGTCAACAATACTCACGATTTTGACAGGGTAGGTTGAGTTTGGAATACTTTCAATTTATACTTAAACAGGTAGACTTACTTTTCTCGTTGTTCTTTCGATTTATCTCTGTCTTTTCGCGACGAACGTTCCTGCAATCGAAAAAGAAAATACATGACATGGTCTAGAAATGCTATCTTAGGGATTCACTGTTAAACCTAAGTGCGCGTTTTATAATACATAAGTGAAGAGAAATCATCGCCCTACACTGGACGCCGGAGGGAAAGCGAAGGGGGGNGGCATTCAAGTCATGGCAAAGGACCGGCAGATGTGGAGGGATTAGGTTGCTGCCTTACACGCCCCCAGGCCTAATGGGCATGAGTGAGTGAGTAAGAGTAAAGAAGCATGTGAACTGAGAGTGTAAGACTTAAAGAGAATGCCACCTTCGTAGTTTTATAACAACAAATGTAGTTGCCAATTAAAGTTTAGAAAACAAATTCAGTCTTAAACTACATTCTATCGCATTGGTTCGAATCCACTCAAAAAGGTAGATTTTCTCGGCCTTACTAGCTATGCAATTTTATCAAACTGGCCGAAACGAACGAGTGAACGATGGGGCGAGGGGTATGTGCAAACGAAGTCGCAATTGCAAACAAGTTGAAAACTATTGAACTTGTGTGCGACGCTGGTTGGCTAATGCTAAGCGTCATTTCTCCATGTCCACATTGCTTAAGTCAGTGTTACCTCGCGTCTCTCGCGGTCTCCCCCCTTGTCACGGTCTCGATGCCTCCTTTCCCGGTCACGCCTGTCACGGTCGCGGTCACGGTCACGCTCTTTCCGCGGAGACCTGTCACGGTCGCGATTTCTGCAACAGAACACTTGAGTTAATGAATCGTTGCATTGATAGTTACTCCTTTATCATAAAAGAGAGTCGATGCACGCTGAAGCATGACTCAATCATTAATTCTTCAAATAAAGGTGGAAAACGCTATCAAAAAGCCTGGTAGGGGCTTTTGAGAATCGCAGATGAAACAAAACGACTTTGCAAAGACTTTAAAACTTACAGATGAACAAGAGAGACCGGCAAGCTACCGTGAGATTTTGCACTGCCGAGTTTCCTTAAATCCCTCTTTCTATTTGTCCTCAAAGCATAACAAGGGGTTACATTTAATGGGCAATAAAAATAGACAATTCTTATTGAACGTTGATACAGAATGCCTATTGAACAATGACGTAGAATGCGTCTAATGGAATTCCAAAAGGAAAAGCTTGGTTAATAAAACACGGTTTCTTTTCTTTTCTTTTTTTGTCCGGGTCTACGTCTTAGCCCAAGAAGTTATACCACAAAATATTCAATAATTTTTCCCTTAAACCAAAGAAATTAGGGGATGGTTACCCAGATGGTTTCATAACCAAAGAATGGGAAAATTTTTGCAACTAGCGCATCATTTAAGACTTTTCTGTTCATAAAAATCACTTAGCACCGTTTAGCTTACCTTTCCCTGTGTTCTCGGGTTCTTTCTCGATCTCTGTCCCGCCGTCTGTGTGAAGAATCCCGATCCCGCTTTCTGTCTTCATCGCTACTGCCAAACTCGCTATCATCATCTCCCGGGCTTTCGCTTCCTTGTCTTCCAATGGTTCCCGGGAAACCCTCGCGAAATCCCGGAGGAAACCCGCGGCCCATTCCCGGTTCCCACGGCATGCCGGGAGGTGGACCCATCATCGGGTGAAAAGGTTGGTTTGGATCTGCAAGGAAACCATGGCAACGATTACAAGCTCGTTAATTCATGGCTTGTGTTAGTGGGACAAGCCAAATAGTCATCCAAAAATTGAACAATGGGCTTCCAGAGATGAGACGAGAATACAAATGAAGCCTCACTATACCAGCTACACTACACTAAAAGGTTCAACTCAGTCAGTAGACGACCATTTCTGAGATGCCTTGTACCTCTGTGTCAAAATGAGTCTTTACGCGAAACCATTCATATGAAAATGGTTCCAGCTGCAGGTTCATTTTCATGCAAATCAAACTCATTTTCATGTGAAAGATTTTGCACGAGGACTCGTTTTGAAACTGAGGCACGAGGTAAACTCGGAAATGGCCTATTTATTTCGTGCGCCATTTTTGGAAGAACGTTCATCAAGTTGCGGCAGATCTCCGGGAAAGCGACAGCCTGCAACAGCCAGTGTAGATTTCGGTCAGTGTAAAACGAAGACTACGGACTACAGACTGCAGATTGCAAAGTATATATTGTGTTATTTCCATAATCGACTGCCAACCGTAAACGGGGTTATTCAGACTAATCGTAGTGAAAGCCTGCACGCCAGATAGCCTGAATAACGCTCCGATTAACCCGTTTACGGTTAGCTCAGCTTCGTTAACCAGTTCACGATTCAGTCTACAATCTGCATTTTACCCGTGGTCTGTGGTCTGCGGTCTGCATTTTACACTCGGTCTGTACTTTACACCCGGTCCGTAGTCTGCAGTCCGCAGTCTGCGTTTTACACTGACCAGTTTAGATTTTAATTTTGGATAGCTGTATGAAGGAGATAAAGGAATTAGCGGAAGAACTTCCGAGATTAAAATGTGATAGGTCAGGAGTTAACAATCAGATGTTGACGATTCTACATGGTATATTAAGATTAAAAACACACGTAATAAAACCATGGAAGTCCTTATCACAGCACCAAATCTAACCTAAACAAGAAGCGAATAAACCAAATAACCCACTGTGTAAATTAGTGTCTGAAACACGCTGGAATAATACACGAGAAAAGGCAATAAGTGATTGCAGTCAAAGGAAGCCGCATTTGAGACGTGCAGGGCACATAAGCGATAATGGCCGAACAATGCGCAAGAAACGACCTCAAAGACGCCATTACGAATCGCGGATAAGATGGCGGAGATGACGAAAAATGGGTTATAATAAATATTTAGACCACAAAATTATCAAAAAACGTAAGTCGGGTTGCTTTCAAAGTTTAGAGTATTTGTATCGCAACATATTTTTTTAAACAAAATTAATGACGTTTTACTCGAAAATTTAGAGTACAAATGTTAAGAATTACTTGACGCGGTCGTCTAACTTGCCCGCCGCTCAGCAGATCATCTTTTCTAGTCCTTTTTCCCTCCTCTTGGAATCGAATACAAGAAGGTGGATCGAATATGAATAAACACATCTTATCTGCGTTTGGTGTAAGAACAGAAAGCCGACCATAAAAAAAAAAAGATTCCACGAAATACTACATTTGTTCTCTAAGTCACTGAAGTCTTTCAAACAAAAAGAGAAGCTTTCATAAACGGTAAGTCGATAGGCGATCGATAAAAATCGTTGTGTATCGCAAAGAGCGAGTAATGTTTCTGAAAATACAGTTAGTGTCATGAGTAACAAACCATTCTTCGCCTCTGATGACAACTTCAAAGCTTTTAACAATCACCGGACTTAAAACATCTTCAGTCAAAGTAAGATATAAAAGAATCAAAACAAAGATTACAAAATAGCCGGTAATAGAGCAATAAAATAACTAAACACAAGGAAAACAGGAAAGTAATTTTTTCCTGCACAGATAAGGCAACTTTTATTCGCTGCTGAAGAGTATTTCCTCCTTTAAAACGTTCAAACAACCCAGATTCCTTCACGTACAGTTAAACTGCTTCTAAATCTAATGACGCTATTGTTACATTTATAATAATCAGTTGTTTCTAAAAAAAAAAACACGTTTGCAGTTTCCTGAGCAATTTGAACACTCCTTCCCTCAAAATGTTAAATGAGTATCACGTGGTGGAACCGTCAAGAAGGAACCCAAGAGCTGATGATTTCCAACATTCTCAATACCCGTCTGTTTGCCTCTGTATTAACGTATTAAGGAGAAAATAGATCCTGGTCACATTCAAGAACCAAAGGTTAACCCGCATGAATGTTAATCGTTGAAACAGCACTTAGCGCCCGGAATGTTGTTTGTCGTTTTGACGGGGTCAAAGAACGTGTAAGGACGTTCGGTGTACGCTTGGAGAACAAGAGTGTGCGTTGACTGATTTACTATTTATAAAGGGAAAAAAAAAAAACACTCCCAAGAAGTTCGACCTTTGCGCTAACCATCCAAACAAGAATCTTGCTAAAACGACACAAACTGAACGCAAAAATACGCGAAGAATTTTAACAATGCTGCGAACATTCTACGATGCTGTCACAAGAGAGCATGCAAATTTAAACGCTGTTTCTATTCAAGTCTTATCGCCTCTAAGATCTTTAAATTTATTTAAGTGCACTTGACTTTTGTCTCTACCGCTATTTTATACACTCTTCTTTTTTTAAAGCCTGGGGGCTTTTTAAGGTGACTGTAACAGAGGTTACGCTTAAAGGAAAATACAATACCCCAAAGCGTGTCAGTCGAACAAATACATTACTGAAGAACAAGAAGCGGAAAAAACGAGTGTGGGAAAAATGGCATTTCGAAAGAAACCCCCCAGTTTTCGCGTGGCCAACTTCTCAGTACGGTTCAATGGCGGTTCTTTCACTAACCCAACAAAGAACCTACAATTGTAGACCGTCAACATACATATTGTACTACGTACTAGTGCAAGAAAGCAGTAGATTTTTACAGTATCAACAATGTATTTATGAAACAAACTTCGCAACTTACAACCTACATCACGGATGAAAATCTGACACGGACTTCACCTAACAATTACCAACCACGATAAATGAAAAAATGATGTGCCTCGTTGTCGGAACGCGATTAAACGCTTTTACCGAAAATAGACCACAGCAGGAAAAGGGAAATATTCCAGCTTTGCGACCAAAAGATATATTTATAACAAGAAAAACATTTAACGCGCTCGCTTAATGACACGTTTACTTTTCGCATGGCAACTTTTGGTCGCTAGGAAAACACTCGGGTGCCAAATTTAATATTTCGCTAAGAGCATCGTAAAACAAACAAGGCCGTTTCCTTTTTTCAAAGTCTGTCGGATATGCTGTTAACATTCCACGTAAATGGCGAAGGCAAAAAGTCGACAAGAAAGCCCTTGATTGAAACAGAAGTGACACTAATGTCAGTTTTGGTGCCAGCACGTTCAGATCTTAAGAGGAAACAATAAGGAAGAAATAGAATTTGCACGCACGCAGGAAGAATGAATTACCGTGCTTTTTGGTCTGACATGGGAGTAAATAATTAAAATATCCAACGACGAGAGGTTATTAAATTGTACTATATTGCAGAATGTGCAATTAGAACTACATTTATACGAAAGGAAAATAGGAAGAGAGACTTCAATTAAGGCAGCGCTGAGAAAGAATCTGCTCAGGAAAAAAAAAATAGGGCAAGAAATGAGATGTGAAGAATATTGCGTGTTATTTTGAAGTAACATGCTGATTCTATTTAGGAAAAAATCTGAGGTTATTTATCATTGTCTACGATCTAAATCCGGTTGTTTTATTGACTTCTGAGAGAAGACAAAAAAGAAAGATATGGGGATTTAAAATTTATCAGTTTATAGTTTTATTTCTACAGGTGTTAAACAGATTTGGCGTAACAAAGTAGGAGCGAGTTTATCTCCAGACACGCCTCGCGTAGGATTTACAGTGTTTTGTTTTTTAGCCTTTTTCAGAAGCCCCCTGTCACCATCAGATGACCTCGGCTCTCTCAGCGTTTATCAACGGCGAGAGCGCAACAATACAGAAAGCTGTGGCTTCGCGTTATTTCATTGTTCGAAAGCCACTTCACGTGGGAGTCGCTTGTGCAAAACAAAGAAAGTTGAAAATATATTTTCGTACGAAGACCGCCTATTACCGAGCTTTACGACAGAAACAATGCTTTTGAACAACTCGTCTTAGAAACTTTACAAAGAACTGATAGATGAATGAAGGCAATTTTCCCCTATCAATTGAGACAAAACTCGCATTAACATAGAACTCGTCATCAATCTCGACGTTTTTTGATTGAGTAGTTTTAATTTTGAACTATCACTTAGCTTTCATAGCTTTCTAGCTGCTGTCATTAACCGCTAATGTTATAAATTTCCAGGGCAACAACACCTCGCGTTTTTGTTTTATTACTTCACACTTGCACTGTTGAAAAATTACTTATAAACAAGACGATCACACTCGTGCGACGAGCCACGCCGAAGGTTTCTGAATACAATTTTGTTTACAACACATTGTTTAATATTTAGATTTAGGCTTCCTCTTCATCTCAACTTTGTAATTTTCCGCTGTCCTGCAGGACACTGCAGGGGCTCTGTGGGACGTTTTAAAATCCATTATCACATTTGCGAAAATCCAATTTGGCGAGCTCGCGCCTTCCTGGAGCGTGAATGAAAAATTAAAATATCCAGACATAAATGACCTCTCTATACCTTGCAATAAACAGGCTTCGCACACAAACTGAATAAGAACGGTAAATAAGTGTTTCTTTAAAGTGAAAAAGTCAACTAAGGGCTCTTACACAAAGACGTCAGAAGCCGAAGAACTAGGCCTCTCTTTGTTGCGCGCGCTCGTGCGAGTAAAGAAAGTCCTGCGACCGCGGATCGAGGTCACTTTCTCTGAAAGTGAAAACAGGCGGGAAAGCTCTCCTGACGGAGAACAATGCCTCATATGCCACTTGAAAGCCTTTCGGAAGTCCTCACTGAACAGGGCGTATATCAAGGGATTAGCCGAGCTGTTGCAGACGAAAAACAAGATGCAGATTTTAAAGAACAGAAGCAAGTACTCAAACTGTGAAGTGTCCTGGAAAATGTCCACTACACGGAAAACGTTGTACGGCAGTAATGTCGCAAAGAAGACCAATACAACGGGAGTTAAGACCTTGAGTGCTCTGTGGTTTCTTTCGCTGGCGCATCTTGTTCTGTCCGGCGCCGATGAGCCAGGGTTGCGAGATTCTCGGCGAATCTGACTGTGTAAAGCAATGCTTTCGTTCAGGCGCCTCCGTATGCTGAGGTACGTGAAGAGGATAACTCCCAGGGGTAAAAGATACGTCAGCAATACGGTCTCCGCTTGGTAAAGCTTGTAGAGCATCGTGCTTGGAAACTTCGGGTAGCAGACAGCCTCGTCTCCACTTTCCACGTAATACATGACAAAAAATAACGGCACCACAAAGAGCAAAAACGACAGAACCCAAATTAACAGGATCACAATCCTGACTGTTCTCATTGCCCCTTTGTGGCTCAACCCGTGCCCTGAAATAATCCCCCGATAGCGAAACACTGCAATGGCGGTGATACTGGCGATGGAAACCCCATGGAAAACGTCGCTTAGCGGGTACAGCACTTTGCAGCCGAATTCCCCGAGCGGCCAGCTCACATCTTCTGTGCGCAAGACTCCAAATGGAAGGCTAAAGAGGAGGACGCCAAGATCACTGATGGCCAAGTTTAGAATCAGGCAGTAAGCCAGGGAACGGTGAAGATTCTCTTTAATCACCACCACACACACCAGCCCATTGCCAAGAACGCCAGCTATGAAAATCACGGCGTCCAAAATGAAACGAACAAGCTGCGCTGCGAACGGTTCGATGTAGAACTGAAATGTCTCAGGACTGCTCGCGTCGCTTCCGCTTCTGTTCAGAGTTGAAACAACCGCGGGTAGATCTGATGAATTCATGTTGAAGTAGCGCGGATTAACTTAAAGATGAGAAAGATCTTAGTTCGCGCCGAAACGTTCAAAACTCGCCGAGCTTCCTCAGTCCCCAGTCAGCACTGTGATCGCACTTATGAATGTTCAAATTGCCCGCGATCCACAGCCTTGTGTGTCCAATTTTCGCACCAAAGGAAGCAAAGTTGGCGCGGATAATACCGCAGAGAGGCTTGATAACGAAACGTAACGATACTCTACCAATTGAATACTAATCTGCTCTGGCAGACTGTAAATCGTCTTGTTGACTTCGAGGCTCTTGGCGTCGATGACAAACACGCCAATTGTAGCACTAAAATAGCGCAGCGCGGTGAAGCTCTTTGAGGGTGACACAAGGTTTAGTTCTGCCTCCTCCCTGTCGCCTCAATAACACTGACTTCGTAGCCCTCCAGAGGGTTAATTTAGCGATCGATCCTTCCCTACTGAGCGACAATTTTGCCGCCCGTTGTCTCAATTAACTAGCGTAGTCGTCGCGGTTTCCCGTGGCGAACGAGCCAAAACTAATTGCGCCTGACAGATGATCCCACCAAATAACTCTCCAAAACCACGATGACGTATTATGTGAGTTACACAGATACAAGCTCAAGAACGAGATTGGGCAATAACAAAAAGAAAAAAACAACGCCAATCTTGCAGCAATAGCAGAGGTTGGCGTTTTGTTTTCTCGCAAGAGTAATCACCGGTCATGTCATTTAAATGACAATGTTGTTCTAATGGATAGGATGGGAAGTTGATGAACGATAAACGAACGCCAGGCCATATTCAAATTTTTGGCATTTCGCTCGAGCCGACGAGCACAATTAGAACGAGGCATAAATTAGCTGCAACTTTGACTTCTGCAAGGTTTGAATGTGAAAGTCAAAGATTTTCATCATCGCTCTTGGTAACTAAACACTGCCCTATTGATGGTAAAACTCTTTGAAAGCCTGGGTACTTTTCTTCAGTAAAAACGTCAATTCGCGCAACATTGATATATAAAAACATGTATTGATTTTAAATCAAGAACAAAACACAGAAAAACAACAACAAAAAAAGACTGAATTACTTTAGAATTAAACAGAACAAAGGTATCGTGTTGTACGAAAAATAATGCTTTCAAATTAATGATGCCCGGAGGCCACCAAAAAAAAAAAAGAAAATGCAACCAAGATCTTAACAATTATATTTTAGAGACAAGTCTCGCTCAACATGCGTGTGGTTTGAAAATGACGAGAAAGTAAGCTTATTGGTTAAGTAAACGCTCAGTGTCTGTATACATATATTCGCCTTCAGATCGGACACCTGTAATTGGAACTTTGAATACTCACAAAAAATTATTTCTAAGTGAAACCACTTTACCGTGGAAAGATTGCTGACAGACAACTATTGTAGAAGAGGACCTCGGTGGACAAGCACTTAAAAGTGAAAAATCAAAATTCCTGATTGGAAAAAAAATGAAGTAAACGAAAATCGCTTTCGATTCCTTCGCGGGAAATCTTCAGGAGACGGAAATTTTCGTTGCCAAGCTTTCGGACAGTGTTGGCGAATTTTCACCTGATTAGGCGGAACATGAAGAGAAAATTTATTCATAATCTATCAGAGTGGACTAAACGAAAAGATTGCCACGAAAATCCGTGTAAATGGATGATAAACAGAACGTCCCACTAACATATGGCGGCCCGGCAGAACACAACACATAAAATCCAATTTTTTTCCGTAGCAATGCTAGAACAAACAAAAAATAATTACAGAGACAAGCAGGAAATTTTTGTAAAATTTTTTAAAACTTACAGTGTATCAACTTTTTTCACGATAAAAAACAGCAAGAAAGAGCCGGGAAATCCAAGCTAAAACCGACGACATTTTAAGTGGGAGACGAAATCGCTACTGAGGTCATCAATTAAAACTCTTTAGCACGCAGTATGGGTTTGCTTTGATATGATCTATCATGCTAGGGTGACCTAGGTGGGCAAAGATTTTTACACAGATAATAATCTCTAAAACTGACAAGATCAATTTATTATTTTCGATGTACCATCGGCCGGGGTTAAAAACGTTCTTGACAACCAAAACAACATCGCATTCGATTTGCATTTGGCGTGAAAAGATCATACGTAGCCACTGGAGAAAACTAAAAAGGCCGATAACAAGGAAAAGGCTAATGGAACGCAAACTGGCATGGCTAGACACAACAGTGCGTCACATAATGTGACATACGTAAATTCGTACAATAACCATTTGGGAAATTTTCATGTAAAATGCAAATTAAGGCACGGTTAGTGCTCAAGTGAAGCAGGCAAATCTTGGACAGCAAACAAATTTTCGGATAAGCGAGAATGATAGTTGAAAGATACTTTTTTTTGTTTTCACAACGAATAAAATTATTTCATTGAAGGGTCGCGCCCAGGGTAGTCAGAAAACAGGGACCCTTAGTCAAATAACAGTTTTCACTTGCATTGTGCGGGAAGCTACCAGAAAACAGGATGTTTGCAAACATCAATTAACGAGAAAAAAGCTACACCGAAAAAGGACTCTTCACTACGTTATAGAAAACTTCTGTCAACGAATAAGATTCTTATGAATATTGAACTTTGAAAACTGAAAATGGAAGCGAGGATAAAGCAGCGAAGCTTCTTCAAATAGTTCATAAAACCAATTTTTGGTAAAAAAAAAAATCTACATTAGGTAAATGCCATTTCAAACGAAATTAAGCTCCCGAAAATTAAAGACTTTACAAACATTCCCAAATGAAATCGTGTATTTTTCGACAAATGTTATTCGGCATTATCGTAAAACTAAGTTTAAACAATGGGCAAACCGAGCTTGTGGATTTATTCTTTCAGGAGTTATCTTTCTATATCGAGAAAACAGGAAAAAATATGAAATAACGAAAGGCCAACCCTTTTAGCCAGAAGTCAAATAATAATAATAATTAGTCGGACCGGCGCCGCAAGGGGTGTAAAGGCGGCAAGCAGGTGACGTCGACTGCCTCATTTCCCGCCAAAATTTACCTGGCGCGCGGTGACACGGAAAAAAAAACATCACCACATAAATTATTTTACTTCTCATGTTGCTTCCCCATTGAATTTGTCAAAAGCAAAACATAAAACTATTAAAATAGAAGGATCGCCTAAGGCCTTGATATTTTAGTCAAGGGTTTTGAAAAAAGGTAATTAACTTAAATTGGATTAAGCCAAATTGGGTTTTATTTTATCATGGAACAAAGACCGGGAAATAAATGGTATAATAAATGTCCGTTCTGTTATCATAATTTCCGCGAATTTGCAACCGCGGTCATCGTTACATTACACAAGCAGGGGATGCGAAATAGGGGAAAAATCACTCAATTCCCTCTATTTGCATACATTTTTTGTATTTTGTGAATCAAGCGCTAAATAGATACGTTTTAGCTCATTTGTTTGGGGTGCGGCATTTATCTAATCGCGAAATCAAGTTTTTTAAAAGCAGAAAGGAAAACTTTCTCCAAACCTCATGCGATCCTTTCCCATTAAAACCGTTTGATAGATACAAGAGCACGCTTCTAAGAAGGTATTTCGACAACAAAAACACTCTCAACTGAGAATAGTACAATATAGTAATACGTCTAATAAAGTGACATGATGCAAGCTTCAAACAATCTGCAACAGAACCAACGGATATGAAAAATTAACAAGGAACCGTGGTTTCAATTTCACGCCGTAATGGCAACCACAGGTTTCAATTCCGGCCAAGGGAATCGCACCAGATAGACGAGGCATTAACATGTTGAAACTGCAAAACGTTAACTCTTCAAAAGTAAGAATTCATTTCACTCATTATGCATTTTTCCCACATTAAGACCAAATGACATCTCCTTTAATTAAGCCCACCTTTTTAATCAAACTTTTAATCGAACTCGCTTCACCTTTCTAAATGTCTGCAGGCGTGGCCACACATTTTCTGTCTCAGAAAAATGCCTTTTACTGCGATCAAAAGTCTTAAAAGACGCATTTGTCTAAGGGGTCGACCGCGGCGACCCATAAAATAATATTGTGAATTGTCCAAGCTCGCTACAATAGTTTCGTGCCTTCATAAAAAATATCCTTTTACATTATCAATTGCAATGAAATCTAAAGGAGATGGGAGACGAGACGAACATCTCAATTCTCACAACTGACATAAACTGAAGTGTTTGTTTACCAGTTAAGAGAATTTACATGTTGTCATAAGCTAAATCAGGATCGTGGCTCGATTCCCTTCTGCTTATGTCAAGTTTTACGACGGAATAAAGAGAGACAGAGACGAAGTGGAAGATTCAATTTCCTTCATATGAATGGCACGTAACTGCGACTCTGATTATTCGCACGAGATAAGGAAGACATTTGCTGTATAATGTAAAATCCGATTTGCCATGACTAAGCGGTTTTTTTATACCTAAAACATCGGAAGAGCGCCTGACTAGACATTTTTGTGTCTGAAGTCTGAGTGTTCCTTAAACATTTTGTTCCACATGTTTACATAAACTAATGTATTCTAGCAATTATTTCCAACGCAAAAGGCTTTAAAAGCGGAAACAGTACAAAAAAATATAACCAATTTTGATTTAAAAACTCAATGGATTTGTGCTGGATAGCAAGTGCACGAAGAAACTGCTTTGGCTTCAATGAATCATAGTTATTTTAATCCGACATTAACCGCCTGGAGCGAAAAACAATTACCTTTACGTGCACAATACCACCGCAAATTGTTTGGACTAGTCTTTCTGATATGTAATCGATTAATTGCAATACGGATAACAGGCTGATTGTTTTACCTCAAGATTAAGATCCACGAAATAGATAAACTTGTAAACTTTGTCGATAAAGCAAACAAATTGCTTTAAGCGCGCCAAGATAACACTTTGAGATGTATTAGCCCAGACTAAATTGACTGCATTGGAAAAAAAAAAGCCGAAAGATTAAGACGTATTTTTGGACAATGATGTTTAAAGTTAGACAATGAAATCGAGATAAACCTCTAAAAAACACTTGTGACCAACAAATATACGATAGAATTTGATAGAATTTTACACTACTTAGGCCATAACTGTTTAATTAATTTCACCAAATGACCGCCATGAGTGCTTTCAGCGTTAAAAGTCCTATTATACGAACTTCATTTTATCAATTGATCTTATGCACTGGTCCACACAGGCGCCAAATTATCTTAAATTATGAACTTATCATTGTTCCATTACGCCCATGCATGTATTCCTTGAAGGAATTGAATCTTGACGTACGAGGCTGTTCGTTACAGCTTAGGCAGCGTCCACACTACGCCGGAGAAATTTGAAAACGGAGCTTTATCTCTACGGTTTGGCCTACCATCCACACTAATCGGTCACAAAAACGGAATTTGAAAACGCCGGCTTTTCGTTTTCGTGTGGACGGAAAACATTTAGAAAACGGAGCTTTTCGAAAACGATGGCGTCACGAAAATCATGTGATATCGTTGACCGAGTTAACCTCAAACACGTTTCCAAAATGGCCGGTGATTGCTGCTTTCCTAAATTCCTCCGGCGTAGTGTGGACGGAAAACATTTGATGCGTTTTTACAGCGCAACCTCCGTTTTTAAATTCCTCCGCCCAAGTGTGGACGGAAAACATTTGATGCGTTTTCAGAGTGAAACCTCCGTTTTCAAATTACTCCGGCGTAGAGTCGACGGGACGTGAGACCTGATCGTACGAGGCTGTTCGTTACAGCTTATATGAAGGGGGTGCTATTTCACATTTACTCACAAGCACAACTTTTTTTTTCACTGAAAGCCTGTAAAATGAGTGCAGATGGTTGTTAAAAGGGGCCCCCCAGGCTTAGTTTTTAATTAATAAGTTAAGTTTGCTAGCGCACTGTATATTCACCATCACTACTCGCAGCATACCGTCACCTTTGCAACGCAGATTTTCTTTTTGATGTTATAGTCGTTTGGCCAGGTTCGTGAAACAATGTTGCGCCAGGGCATGCGCACTAGTTCGATTTTCAACTCCCAACATGTCGCAACACGTCGCAACAGGGTGGCCAAACGCGCGCAACATGTTGCGCCCAACAATGTCGCGATATGTTGCGTCGAAATGTTTTGGCTGGGGCTTGCAAATACTGGGCCAACAATGTTGCGATATGTTGCGTTGAACTGTTGCCATCATTTGGCGGGTGCTTTACAGCCACGATTTTTAGCATCTCGAAATCATACAACAGTGCAGCCCTCCTTATTTCCAAAACTCCGATGTATAGAATATCTGGGTCGGTTTGTTCGAAAGGTGTATAACGTTATCTACCGGATAAATCACTATCCAGCGGATGGCGTGGTTCGTTTTGTTAACGCTTATCCACCGGATAGCGATTTATCCGGTGGATAAGCGAGCAACTGGCGCCTGGTGTCAGAAATTTCCGTTCTTTTATTTACGAGTTGTGTGGCTGTTTGAAACTACCATGTACGTATATCTCGGTTGCGTGAAACAATTGGCAGAAATCCGTCTACGTACGCAGGCTAGGTAAGGGAAAATTCAGCAAGACTTAGCCAGTTGTGACCGGAAAATGTTTCAGCTATGTACGGCAATTCAATTTCTGAGTCCCCTAACCCAGTTTTACATTGCAAAAATAATTCAAAAAAGTTGCTTTGGCCTCTGTAAGGGACAGCATTAGCTTACCTCCAGGGAAGAACGCTGCTCCTTCTTCAAATGGCCTGGGTCCCCTGAAAAAGACGAAGTGATCTTCACATAAAAACCTTTCTTGAGCTGAAACTGTTTTACAATTTCCTTTCACCTTTTAACAGAAAATTCAACTAAGGGAAGTGGTTAGCATATAGCCCCTGATGCAGCAGGAAAACCCATCGGGATGTTGACGTTGACTTCCAAAGGAAAAGGGATGAGTTCAGTTACGGGCGCCGGTGTGAAAAACAGTCAAGTTACAACACCGCTTTGCACTTACCACAAGCTTACTGCTCCGGTATTGGGGAGCTTAAGAAAACCACAACGGCAACGGCAACGTCGCTAAACAAAAGGTTTAATGAGGAGAACAATGGCTGTGCACGTGCGTTATAATTCTTGGTACATTTCTTTGCCGTCCTCTGCAAAACAACAACGTGAAATGACCAAATTCTGCGTTGCGTGAGGAACGTGAACCACGACGGCTAATTTTTTAACTTTTTGTTTCCAATTAGTCGATGTGTACTAGACTCAGTTTCGTGATAGCTTTGACAGTGATAAACAAATTAAATGACTCTCGAGTACCACGAGATTCGTAGGTAAAATATAAACTCATTTTTCAATCGACGTTGTCCTCGACGTCGCCGTCGTGGTTTCTTGACACCCACCTTACATACGCAGGTGATAATGCAGACAATATTCAGTTGCGCCTAAATCAAGATTTAGAAAATGTTCACAATTGGCTGAGAGCAAACAAACTCACTCTAAATATGACTAAAACCGAATTCATGCTTATCGGATCTAGGCAGAGGCTAAGTACTCTCACAGAGTCCCCAAGATTTGCAATTAATGATTTTCAAGTTAGCCAGGTCACTACCGCAATATCACCTGGAGTGACCATCGATGACAGACTTGATTGGAGTGGCCATATCGAGAAAGTAACTAAGCAAGTCGCTTCTTGTATTGCGGCCATAAAACGAATAAGGCACCTTGTCACTCAGGCGACCTTACATCTAATATACCAAGTTTTAATCCAGCCACACTTTGACTATTGCAATATTGTCTGGGGAAACTGGGATAACTTTACGGAATAAGGTACAAAAGCTACAAAATAGAGCAGCCCGTGTTTTGACCTACTCAAACTATGACGTAGACGCTGGTCACCTGTTCAAACTTCTAGAGTGGAAAAATCTAACTTGCCAGCAGTAAATTCAAAGAGCTACGATGGTTTACAGGTCTCTGCACGGGTTGGCTCCAAACTATCTCAGTTCTAAATTTGAAAAGCGAGAAATCGCATATGACCTAGGGGACTCTGAGAATAAACTCAATGTTCCATTACCGCGCACAGACTATTACAAAAATAGCTTTAGCTATAGTGGCGCCATTCTCTGGAACAGTCTTCCTTGTAACTTACGGAAAGCAGAGTCCCTTGGACAATTCAAACGACTACTCAAAGAAGAACTGTAAGGCACGGCATTCGTGAAAAGCAGCTTTTTATTTAAATATTTCTCATTATATTAGTATCACATATTCTTAAAGCTGACGAATTTTGTACCGTGGATAAATAAAGCTCCCAGTAACTACGACGGAGACGGCGAGAACAACTTCGATTAAAAAAAGAACTTGTATTTTACCTACGAATATCGCGATACTCTAAAGTCATTTACTTTGTTTCTCTTTGTGAAAACTATCTCGAAACTGAATATGAAACACAGCGTAAAATTCGAAATATACATTTGACGAATTATCCGTCATAGTTCACGATCTCCAGACTAGTCTGACAACGCAGAATTTAGTCATTTCACGTTGTTGTTTTGCAGAGGACGGTAAAGAAATGTACCAAGAATTATAACGCACGTGAACAGCCGTTGTACTGCTCACTATTGCCGTTGTGGTGTTCTTAAACTCTCTAATGATTAAATCAAGGTTTTCGTAAAGGAACTGGTCCTGGCGATTTACAGCTAAAGCGGGGAACCAGTTACAGTCACTGTTTAGGTACGTAATTTTCACCTGTCTTACCTTTCGTCGATTCCCTGCGGAAATTCTCCGGCCGGGGGCATCCCGGGTGGTACCCCCGCGGGTCCTGCCATCGGTATGCGCCCGCGACCTCTTCCACGCATGCTCATTGAACCAGGGCGACCTGGAAATCCCGCTGGAAGAGAAACAAGATAAACGAAATAAGATTTTTCGCATTAAGGGTCATAAGAAAACAACTGTGATAGAAATGCACCTACCTGGATCAAACGGCGGATGCATCCCGTCTGGCGGTATTCCCATCTCGGGTGGAAATCCGTGGGGTGGCGGGCCTCCCATACCAGGCATAGGGGGCATACCGGGCGGAGGCATTCCGGGGGGTGCACCCTCGGGATGATGACGTCCGTCTGGGCCTGTCATGGGTCTAAAGGGAGGGGGCATTCCAGGCGGAACGGGACCTCCTGGGGGAACATGCATAGGCATGGGTGCTCCTGACGGGGGAGGGCCCATTGCGGCGTCAGGACGAGGGGGCATAAATGGAGGGGCTCCTGACACAGGGGGCATCCCATGAGGACCTCCAGGAGGACCTGTTGACAATAGACAGAGGATACATTATCACGTGAATAACCTAGTTTCCTTCCAGGATTGGAAGACGTGGCCTTTCAAAGCAGTAGAAACAAACTGCATCTTCAAGAACTATTTGCTACTTAACAAACTGAAGATTAAATACTGTTCATCAAGCACTAAGTGACGCTTACTTAGCTTTTGTAAAGCTTTATTTGACATACCCTCGATGAAGTGGTCAAAGCTTTTTTTTTAACATCATTTTTGCTCCGCTCTAATGAAAAAGTGGATTAAATAGCGTGTGATCATCATCAATCCATGATTGACATGTTTCACCCTAGATCTGTGAAAAATATAGGTTAACGACGTCTTTTGAGACAACACTTGATTTCTATCATTGAAAGTCCGCACACAAAATCACATTACCTGGAGGGAAGTGCCTCTTGTTCATCATCCCTGGGCGTGGCCCAACATCCGGGTTCATTCCCTCCCCCATCATTGGCATCATTACGTCATCTTCTCGTCGCCTGCGACTTTCAACTGAAAGGAAACAAAATAAATACTGAATGAGATCTCAAACCGTAGNACTTACAAAATGTCCCACTACACGATATACTCCCCAAACGTATTACAGGTGTAATAGCGGTTGTTTACCATTTTCACAGAGAAACCAGTTTCTCAACGGTTTGTGCAAATGTTAAGCAAAAATGCCTGAAGGTAACGTTCCATTCAGATTGGCGACTTTTCATTTAATCAGCAATCCCCAATTTACTGAAAAAGCCTACAACGAATTCGAACTGATCATAATTCCAAGATAGCAGTGAAGAATTGCAAATGGTAAGCACCTTTCCCATTCAGGTGTTTCAGAAATTTTTCGGTCGCTTGAAACAAAGTTGTCTTGCCATTTACATTCTGAACAAAATTTCCAGAATTTTTGGGTGAATGGTAAACAACTAGTACATCCAATATTTTCAAAAGGCAGAATTTCCAATGCTTCTTACAATGGTACCATGTGATTTCAGTTACCAGAAATTTGAAACTAAAAAGGTCACCGATTGATGTTAGATTGCAATCTCATGGCAGACTAACAATAACACTAAGCTTTACAGAATTTTGCAATTGACAAACTTACAAATATTTTCTTGGGCATTTGTAATTCCATTCTCATTCTCCTCTGTTTTTCACAGTATTGTTTCCATGTGTCTTCCGTGAATCCATAGTTAAAGTAATCAGTAATATCAGCACCTACAAACAAACACTCAGGTGAGGTACTCATTAGAAAAGCTGTGCTTATACTGTAAGAAAGAGAGCACTGAATAAATCTCTGGTCTTGCAAATCGTCTTCTTTTTTTTTTT